GTGCTAATTAAAATAACGTATTTCGCACATAACTTTAAAAAACTATTAATATTTCAAATTAAAATTTTTGCTCAAAAGATAGGAAAATATTTCTATTCTAAGGATATTTTATTATGTCTTTAAGAGTTTTTGCTATTTTTAAACGAATTTCGGAATTTTCTTGTCATTATTACCCAGACAATATTTGTAAAATCGATGCAGTTGTGGTTTTCTCAGTCATTTTTTACTACACTTCTTTTTATGGTTTTGTAATGCTTTTGTTCATTTTTAAGGAAAAAAGAATTAAAGAGGCTTTTAATAAAATTCATTTATTTAAAAAATCAAATGGAAAAATATAAACGAAATTTTTTTCTAAAAATATTTTATTTTCACTTTCTGAGCGATTCAGTTAAATCAGAAAAAAAATATGGAAGAATTTTCTTAACAATCGACGATAAAAAAAACAAATGAGCTTTTTATTCTGAAATTTATTTTATTCTTTCATTTCGCAAAATGCTTAATTAATGGACTAGTTCTTAAAGATGAATTTCTTCCATCTTCTTAAAAATGCATATTTAGCTACGTCAAAATTGAAAAGCTTACCGCTCTCAATTACATTATAATACTTTCCCAGTTTTAATAAAAAATATTTGGCGTTAAACATCCACCCCAAATTTGCAGAAACGTCGCCATATTTGGCTAACCTATCTCATTCATTGGAAGCATTGTGGCTTCTAACAGCTGCTGTTCCCTCAAAAAACCGGTGTTTAAAGGAGAAAACTGCGTCCTTTGTGTTAACTTCTCTGCAAATCTTCATTTCTGTGAATCATAATTTTTCAGAATAATACTCTTAGTAGAACAAAATGATGTTCAAGAGGTGAGGCTAATATTTTTTCACTATTTTGATCTCATTTTTAATTAGTTACTATTAAAATTTTGGAGCGTTTCGCTTGTCTTCTTTGTTTCAAACAATCCCAAATTTCGCCAGTCTCTATATTCAAATTATGAAAATTAAACTGATGCGCGTGAATTAGTTAAAATCTAATGGAAAGTTTGATTTTCTTAAAACTAAAACTTAATCTTTGCCCGTACTTAGTTTACAATTATAATTTATTTATTGATTATTTTTTTTATGATCATGAAAATATTTTCATGTCTCAATTGAGAAAGGAAATAAAAGAAAAAAAGCTATTTTTGCGAAGGGATTGCGAGACTAAATATGAATTTTGCGCATACTTTTATTAAAAATAATTGTGACCATTATAAAACATTAAATCGTATTTAAAATTAAATTATGCGATTATTCTAGCTTATAATGAAACTCTTTAGAATTCATAATTCTTTATTATGTTTTCTAATCTAAATTTTTTCTGTAAAATTATAGAATCAATTCAAACTATAAAGTTTTTTTTATACACGTATTTATGTTACTTCATAGTAAAATATTGTCATTTTTGTAATTATTTTTTTAACTTGCATAGTGTAATGAATTTTCTCAACAAAGATGATTTACGATTCATTTTTGCATTTTTTTTCCAATGTTTGTAATAAATAGAAAACAGATAAAGTAATAAATCAATGATAAATAAACAGATAAAGTAAATAAATAAAATAAATAAGCCTTGGGAATGGAGTTCTCGAAAATGTAAAGAAGGAATATATAAATTTTCTTTCTTTTTGTATTATTTTAATTAATATGACTCTATTTTTCTTTATTTAAATTTTTTAGCTCACATTTAGTTAAATGTATATAGAATAATTCGTACTTGCCAAAATTTATAATTTTAGCATAAATAAAGTAACAAAAATTTATTCAAATTTTTATCAGCTAATATTACTTAGTAATAAATTATATTAATGAATCGTAAAATATATACCCAATATAGATTTAAAAATAATTATTAAGCTTTCAGCATTTGATTCAAATATTAATCCTAATAATGGCCTGTTTATGTAATACTAGATTACGGTTCTGTTTAATAACCGTTGGTGAAGCGTGGAATCTTTGTGTATCAACAATCCAGCCTGCTCGTTATAGGCAAAGGGAGATTTTGATTGGGTATCCCCTAGATGACGTAACAAAAAATGACATCATCTGTAAAGAGGAGAAAAACCTCCGGTGAAAACGATCGATCGAATAGGAAACATGAGGTGCCATAAATCGCCAACTAGATTCAATTTCAATCACCCGAATTGATTTTGATTATAAATTTGTGGTTTTCAAGGATTTTTCTTTTTCGGTATGCCTTCACAGAGGTTTTTTTTTTATGCATTAAATTATCGTTTTTTAATTATTATTATTTTTAAAAACTTTTTTTCACATTTTTCTCTTTACAATTAATTCTTAAATACAGTCAAACCCCGCTATGGTGAATCTTTAAGGGACCGAAATTTTGGCTCTAATTCCTTTCAGATTTGATTTTTCATTGATTCAATTCATTGGAACTAATAAATCTGGAAAATGCAAATTTATTTCTAAAATTGATTTATTTCTGAAAAAAAAAAGAAAGAAATTCAGAAGGCATTTTTAGAGCTATGCACTTAGTAATAATAATTAGTCAGTGTATAAAATTTTTGACTGAGTAGAGGTAATATCTATATTATGGGTGCTTCTATATTATGGGGAAATTTTTCATTCATTCAATTCGAATTTCATTCAGTTCAAATTTTTCATTCATTTATTTTAAAAATAGCTTCTTTTTTTATAAAAAGAAAAGATACGCAATGTGAACATCTTACTTCCTTTTCCGAAAAGCAAAATTTTTAAAACGCATGTTTTTTCATTAGTTCATTATTTACCTATTTATTTTACTCTATGATTTTTAATTATTGAAGTTATAACGTTAACAGTTTTATCCAAGTTGGTGGAATGGAGCCTTTTTGTATAAAGAATTGACCATAAAACCTGCCAAATATTTTTGTAACAGTTTTATTACGTCTGGGTTACCTTGAATTTTTTTCCTTTTTCTTCATAAAAACTATTTTTATAAAACAATAATTTGTGCATATTTCTTCTTCTTGCACATTAAATACAGCGTGCGTGGTGTTTTTAAAAAGTACTTTAAAAGTGCTTATTTTTTATTTACGTTTTTTTAAAAGCCCTTAAAGGTGCTTTTTTTTTTAATTTGGCGTTTGTAAGAAGTGCCTAATTTTCTATCTTTTAAAAAAAGATTTTTTCTTTGCCTTGACGATTGTCGTCATAAATTACAAAAAAAAAAAAAAAAAAAAAAAAAAAAAAAAAAAAAAAAGATTTTCCCAATTTTTCTGCAATATTTATCAAAAACCAGTTATTTTATCATGATTATGTGAAGTTTTTGAAAATGTTTTTGCATTTTGTTGATTTTATGTTTATAACTTTAAACGATAGAATTTTTTTTTTTATTACTACACTTGTCCTATTTATGAATTATTATGATTTTTTTTTTGGAAAGTGATTAAAACTATTTTTGAGTGTTTTAAAAGTGCTGCTTATTTCTTGTTGAAAAATCTGGCTACGCACCTTGAAAAATAGTCAAACTTACCGATAATTATGGCTGATTACAAAGGTTAAAATATACCTATAAATTTGCAATGAAAACTATAGCAAATAACATATTAAGAATAAAAAAGAGATAAATAAAAGCTTAAATCACTCACTTTCGAAAAAAAGTCTGTAAAAAATTTATTCTGTATTTTATGACCAATATTTAACCCCTGATTTATATTTTGGGTTTGCGACTCTTAATAATAAATCCCGTTTTTCCAGTATAAACAATTAATATAAAATCAATTCTTACTTAAGTCAACAAAGAGAAATTTTATTTTAGTTACTTTTTATTAAATAATTGCAATTAATATAAATATGTATATACATATGATAGAATCACAATATTAAGTGACGCCACTGACTATTTTTATTCCTAAATTTATATCCTGCTAAATATCTTATATAAAAGAAATTTATTTCTCCCATATAAATCTAAAATTAATGAAATTTAATGAATGATTTAATATTTGAAAAAACTGTATTAACTTCAAGTGTCATCCACTACAAGTGTAAAAAAAATGTATTTGAAGTCGAGTGGATGAATAAAAAGTATTTTATCCGAGATGATTGTGCTTCGGAAAAAATCCCCGGAAATCCAAGGTCCAAAAGTTTCAAGAAATCATCGATCATATTTATGTATAAAAATAGTTTCATATTTTATTTAAAAATATTGGAATTTGAATTGATACTTATGCTGCAATTTAAGTTATGCTGCATATAATTTTTTTAGAGTTTCATGTTGTGAAAATATCAAATGATTTAAAATTATAAAGACACTAATTTTTTGAAATGCGTCATTAATGATTTTACTCAAAAAATGTTCAGGATTTTTGAGTTGGGCTCACAATTATTCCTGATTACATTAACGATTGAAAATTTGAACTATATATATCGATATATATATATATATAAACTCATGTTTGTGAAAAGTGCAACACCATGAAGGAATCGTCATAATTGAATGAAATTTAATACACAGTTGAGTGGTAGTGGTACAAATAAATGATTAAACTTTCAAAGCAAACAAACAATAACAAGAGATCGAAATCAGTATTTTGTGTAGCCACCAAGCGCCGCAATAAGTGCTGCTACACGGCGTGGCATGGAGTCGAGCAAATTTTGAAGAGCATGCCATATTGTTTGTATGCGTACCCAAAGTTCGTCTGTAGAAGCAACAGGACGAGGATCACGAGTGAGACGCCAACCAACGAAATCCCTAACATGTTGAATCGGCGACTTATCCGGGGAATACGCTGGGCAAGGAAGAAGCTGTACCTGCCGCGATGTAAGGAATGATTGAACAGTCCTAGCAATATGAGGGCGGGCATTGTACTGTTGAAATACAGCCCCTGGCAGGGCTTGAAGGAAAGGAACAGCTTGGGGCTTCAGAACTTCCCTGATGCACCGGTTGCTGTTCAGATTATCCACAATTCGTAGCAATTGAAATCATCCATGATATGCTATGGCACCCCAGACCATAACTCCGGGTGTTCGTTCACTGGCTTTCGATAATGCACTCCGGAAGGCGGCGTTCACCGGCATAACGTCTGACACGAAAGCGGCCATTATGGTACCACAAATTAAAGCGGGATTTGTCAGAAAACACGACATGCTGCCAATAAGCCCGCCAGTCACTATGCTGATTGGCCCATTGTAGCCGCAGGCAGCGATGGTTTAGCGTGAGGGGGATCCTGTATAAAGGAGTCCTTGCACGCAGTCTACGCTGCAGCAGACGTCTACGAATTAATGAAGCACACAATGAAACACCTGGAGCTATTGACCACTGTGCTGTCAGTTGTCTAGAGGGAGCCGTACGGTCCGTCAGCGCCATGCGGATCAGGTGTCTGTCATCGTGAGCTGACGTCACATTTCGGGGTCCACTCCCGGATTTTCGAGTTGTCCGACACTCGTCCGTCCACTGCTTCCAAACACGCATTACTTTGCTGCTGTTACGCTGCACACGAGCGGCTACTACACGATAAGACAATCCAGCTTCACCAAGATCGATGATTCTCCCCCGTTCAAACTCCGTAAACTGTTGAAATCTCGCACTCTTTCGTCGAAGAGGCATAAGTAACTACTAAGCTAACGTTTACCACTAGCAGATAATCACCGATAACCATACAAGCCTCGCTACAGCCGTCTATTTATTCGGATCCATCCGCCGTTCAGAGGGCGCTGCTCAGCATACGCATCCGCTACGGGTCTGAAATTCTAATCATTTGCATATCATGCTCTACTTTGCATTTCCTGAAAATTTCAGCTCACTTGCGTATGTCCTTCATGGTGTCGCAATTTTCACAAACATGAGTTTATATATATATATATATATANACAGCCGTCTATTTATTCGGATCCATCCGCCGTTCAGAGGGCGCTGCTCAGCATACGCATCCGCTACGGGTCTGAAATTCTAATCATTTGCATATTATGCTCTACTTTGCATTTCCTGAAAATTTCAGCTCACTTGCTAAGTCCTTCATGGTGTCGCAATTTTCACAAACATGAGTTTATATATATATAGGTATATAGGGAAAGCGTGAACTAATAGTAGAAATTGAAAAATATGATTGGATTCAACCTCGTTGGTTGGAGCATTTAATTATTATGAAAATTTATGAGAAAATTAAAAAAATTCGTTTCAAGAAAACTTTTAGCTTTAATGGCATAAAAATATTTTGAGTCAGAATAATGTAATAAAACTATTTGTTTCAGGGTCGAAATATGAAGAAATACACTCTAAAAATATTCTACGATAGATGAAAATTACTAAAAATTAAGATTTAGTTTTTTTTTACATTCCATAAAAAAATTATTAAAGTTATTGGAGTTTTACATAGCTAAGCTACATACTTCTAAGTAAAAATTCGCATTTTATGCAATCTTAAGGGAAGATCTTAAGCGATAAATTATGGGTTCATAGAAGAAGAGCGGAGGGAAATGGGGCTCCGAGAACACGAACCCCCTTTTATTTCAATTTCTTGTTCAATTTTCCATTCCTTAAAGATGTATTTAAATGTTTGACCTTGTAATGTATTTCTATGACCTAGAAATATTTTTGGGTCATGGATGTACAAAATTTCTAGCAGCTAGGCAGGCATGTTGTGACGTGAATACAATTCAAAAAATATTTCAAACTTTAAAGAGTTTTGTTTTATCTGTCTATTCCACTATATTATTTTTTTCGTTGCTATATGTGCATAGTCATACCTCTCGGAATAATTAAAAATATGCTTACTAATTTAATTAAATACTCTTTGGCCAAGGTTAATTTCGTTATAGTTCAGTTTACATGCATCGATAATGTAAACTTAAAAATAAAAAAAATATTTCCCCATTAAATTGTTTAGAGCCAAATTTAGATTTACTACAACATTTTTATCATTATTAGGTATATCAGTGTACTTAATATTTTAATAAAAGACAAGCGTGGCTCATTATGAAACCCACTCAGGCCATTCGCGTTAATAGAAAACCTTCATTCCGCGATGTTTAAACAATGAAGGGGAGAAAAACTGAAACAAACTGTTCAGTATTTCCTGATATAAGTGTTATGTAAAGATCTTGTTTTAAGATTTGGATTTTTTCATCAGCTTCATATTTCATCTTTGCAATGACTTATTATGTCAAAATTCCGTTTCTGAGGTGCATATTAGATAATACAAAAAGAGGATTTTTTTTCTTCTCCAAATAAGCTAGCATGAGCCGTGGTGGCTCAGGGGATAGAGCGCTCATCTCCCAGTGAGGTAAACCGGACTCCAATCCTAGCTATAGCCGGTCAATTCGAATTCCGCGAACGGCTCGCTCCGACCACGGTGCTGACGTAAAATGTCCTCAGTGGTAGACAGATCATGGGTTTCAGTCCCCTTGCCGTCAGAGTAACCTTGGGAAGTTTTCGTGGTTTTCCTCTCCGTGTAGCGCAAATGCGGATTCCATCAAAAAGTACACCATTAAGGGAAATTTTTCCCAATACTTGATCCAGAATTCGAATCCCGGCGATGGTTGGTTAATTCGAATTCCGCACCCGGCTCGCCACGGTGCTGACGTAAAATGTCCTCAGTGGCAGACGGATCATGGGTTTTAGTCAACTTGCCGTCAGGCTAACAGTGGAAGATTTTTGTGGTTTTTCTCTCCATGTAACGCTAATGTGGGTTCCATCAAAGAGTATTCTACGAAGACAAATTTTTCCCAATACTTGATCCAGGAGTTCCCTTGTCCTCCATGTTCTTATAACAAATCAATACTACTGGGGGTACTGATCCAGGAGTTTCCTTGTCTTCTGGATTGGTTCAAAATTACAAGGCTACGGAGTTGAACGTTAGTAGTCGTAAACCCATGAAATTGGGTCGGCTGTTCAACGACGGTTATA